CTGCAGCTGGTCAGATTTGAGAAACTGAAATATTTTATGTGACTCGTTACCTTCAGGTATGTATGTTGGTCTTCCCATCACCACTATAGCATATTTGATCTGTAAATAAATAAATTAATTAAATTGAGTTGCCCTAAGTATAAAACAAGTCATTGTTAATGACATAGTCCCCGTTGGAAGTAGGGAGAATGTTTTTCATACCAAAAATAAAGTTACAAACCAAAAGCATAGTTAGTTATCTGGAGTTAATAAATGGCTGGTCTAGTATCAACAGAAATTAGATGTATTAAAATTACACTTCCAAAATCGAAATATATGGTCAGAAATTGAAAAGGATAAGCTATTCATCCATTTTTTGTATCCAAACTGAATTTTATTTGTCTGGGCTCGTGTACAGAGATATTAGTAGTATGGTCAATAAGCAAGAATGCACGCAGTCAACCCTGTTCAACCCGATCATGAAACTAAATTTCATGGACATGTATTCTAACATGTATAATTTGAGGAGAAAAAAAAACATGTCAACAACACATTTTGAAAAAAACAAGATGGCTGAGTTGGTCATTTTGAATTTGAACATGAAATAAATCATCAAGGACATGTATCTTAACATATACAATGTTTGTATCAAATTTGAACAAAAAACGACAAATCCTGTCGAAGAAACCACATTTTTCAAAAAACAAGATGGATGCCAGTCGGCCACCTTTTATCTGATTAAGGAACAAACTGATACAAACATGTAATTCCTATATTTATGATGTATGTGCCAAACATGAATGAAAATGGCCTGAAAGTAGTATGATCAAAAAGCAAGATGACCACCAGTCGGCCATCTTTAATCTGATTGTAAGTAAGTAAGTAAGTAAGTTAGTAAATCTTTATTGCTATCGTATCCCATTTGAGATCTTGACATAAAATACAATAACGTCAAATACATGTAATAATAATAAAAAAAAAATGAAAATACTAAATAAAAGGAAATAATAAAAATACTGTAAATGAATGAAATAAATACATATCTCACAATAAGAGATAAATGAATAATTGTAATATAATGTAAATAAATGTAAATTTGTGCTTTGCGTTTTTTTGAGGCAGCTGGTACTAAAGTTATTGTTTGATTTTTTGCTCCCTAAGCATAAAGCAAGTATAAATGTGTTTTGAAACGTCTTTAATTATGTGATCGTTTTTATTAATGTCTCTCCATACATTTTATGTTTAGTAAAAATGCTGGTTCTTTCTTTATCATATAGCTGGCACGTGAAAAGGAAATGTTTCTCATCTTCAATTTCTCCAAGATCACAGACAGGGCATTTTCTATCAGAGATGGAAATGTTTTTGTATCTGCTCGATTCAATCTGTAAACGGTGGGCACTTATTCTAAGTTTAGTCATTGCAGCACGATATAGTGGATTTTTAATTATTTGAAGGTATTTCTCAAAAGAAAAATCAGTTTTTATTTCTCTGTATGTTCTCAATTTGTTTTTGTGATGCACGCCCTTATCATCATCAAACATGCATTCTTTACTTTTTTTCTGGAATTGCATTTTAAGTTTTTCTGTAATGTCTTCAGTAGTAGCATTGCTGTATTTAATTTGCCCATCTTTCCAGATATTACTTAAACTTAGGTTTTCTAAAATCTTTTTCACACCAGATACCCAGTTGTAAATGGTAAAACAAATTTTCGTGGACATGTAATCCAAAATGTTCAGTACATGTACCAAATGTGAACAAAAACTGTAAAAGCATTTTCAAAAAACAAAATTGCTGCCAGCCAGCCAACTTTGATCTGATCATAAAACAAATCATCATAGACATGTATCCTAAGATGTATAATATATGTACCAAATTTGAACAAAAACTGACAAAGCATGCATAAGAAACCACATTTTCAAAAAACAAAATGGCTACCAGTCAGACTTATTGAATTGAATCAGTGAACCACTGCATGTGCGTATGTCCCATATAAAGTACTAACACATGCAAAGAATGAACAGATTTGGTCCACAGGATGCTGAAATATGACCCTGGATGGACGGATGGTCAGATGGATGGACAGACAATTATAAGTCTCTGTTTCAAACTTACAGGCCATTTACATATATGACAACTGTATTAAGACAGGCAGTAATTAGACTGTAATATACATAATAATTAGCATATTAGTAGTGCATACGCTTATGTGAATGAGAGATGCGTCTATAAAAAAAAATGTGATTTTCAGTTATGTGCACTTCTATTAGTGATGTGCTTGTAATAGAGAAGATACAGTATTGATATGCGACTGACAAATGACTTTCTGATCAGGGCATGTAGGTCCATGTGATGTTAATACATGCCTTTACATGGTTTAGAATAGGAACATATGGCAGTTCAGTGAAACATATGTAAAGACTGTTTTGTATACATGGTATACTGTTCAAGATGGCGTCCAAATCACAAAATTTCTGCTGAATTTAAAATGCTGCAGTCGCTGTGCTGCATTATGTTTGATATGCGACCCATAGTGAACCATACATAACATTTCAAACAAGCGCTGCATGATAACTATAGTGCTTTGAATACCGACTGAATGTTATGTTTTGAAGAGTAATCCAGGTGTCTATGTTTGACAGTGATATATGTATCTATATATTACATATGAGAGAATTAAATCAGATTCATTACCTTGTCAAGTTCTTTTTCACCAATGCCTAATATTGACCCAATTCTTGTTTTAACATCTGTGAATACTTCTCCCTGCAAGCAGCAAGATTAACATAACATTAAAAACTGAATCCTGAGTAAACTGCAAACACAGTGGAACATCATTTTCCACTCTCTCTTCAATAAACTCAATTTTCTCATTTCTATTTGTTGTTTGGCTTAGACAGGATTAATTGTGATAATGATCATCTAGAGATAAGATAAGATAACTGATATAAATAACCAACCTGTTTTATCCTGAGTAGAAACGGAACACCAAATGTGGCAAAGACTTCTTTCTGGAAATGAGCAACACAAACTAACATTTCCTCTTCTTTAACTTTTAACTGGTCATCGGGAATTTCCTGTCATAGTTCCAAATAAGAATAGGTTAGTTATTTGTTATGTGGAATGGAGCAGGATTTATGAAGTTGATTAAGTGGGATGTGTGTGGGTGGAGAATGTGGGTTGGATGGTGAAAGTGGGTTGTGTGGAGAATGTGGGCGTGGGTTGGGTGGAGAATGTGGGTTGGATGGCGAAAGTGGGTTGTGTGGAGAATGTGGGTTAGATAGTGAAAGTGGGTTGTGTGGAGAATGTGGGCGTGGGTTGGGTGGAGAATGTGGGTTGGGTGGAGAAGGTGTTGGATGGGTAATGTGGGTTGGATGGTGAAAGTGGGTTGTGTGGAGAATGTGTTTAGAAGTATGTTGAATGAAGAATGCGAGTCGGGTGGAGAATGTGGGTGGAGAAGGAGTTGGATGGGGAATGTGGGTTGGATGGAGAATGTGGTTTGGATGGTGAATGTGGGTTGGATGGAGAATGTGGGTTGAATGGAGAATGTGGGTTGGATGAAGAATGTGGGTTGGATGGAGAATGTGGGTTGGATGGAGAATGTGGGTTGGATGGAGAATGTGGGTAGGATGGAGAATGTGGGTAGGATGGAGAATGTGGATTGGATGGAGAATGTAGGTTGGATGGAGAATGTAGG